GGACCATCCGCAGGCCGGATTGAGAAGGCAATTGGGCCGGATCTGGCCCCCGGGCCTTAGTTTACCTACCCATGGTCTATGCAGAATTAAGAATCAATGAGTTCTGTGTGGCTTTCTCCTAGATAAGTGGATATAGGATTGTAGATGAGCAGATCAATCCTCTGCACTGGAGTGAATTCGGACGGGGCTTCCAACTGCATGTGACTGAACGTGTGGAAGCTACCACTGGCAGTGTCAGTGTCAGCTACAGCTTGTGTGTGCCTCCCAAACAAGGCTTTTCAGGGACGAGGAGTGGAGAGTTTTGGGTTGGCAAAGGAACCACTGATCCTAAGCCAGTCCATTGACAGGCCCAATCCAGGTCTCTCTGCTGTGTCAACCTGGAGCTGGTCCAGAATGGTAATTTCGTGCCACCCACCTTCTGCTCTGATTGCCATGATGTCCAGTTGTACCCTACAGGAGTTTGGATTGTGCCCTTAATAAAACAACAGTCTCTTTTATCATTTTTTACTGTACCACCTAGAATGGCATATGTAGCCAGCAAGATTTTTCATAAATCAATAAAAGAGCTTGGCTCTAAATTTTATTCAAACTAGATCTCACCCCCTCATCTTAAATAGAAGCTATACTGTGATTAAAATAATAATCATCATAAATATTCTGATTGCAAATATGGTCCAATGGGGCTTTCGGTCCCCCCTGCCTTAATGGAAGCAGCCCCCACAACAGCGGGGGATCACCAGCAAATGAAAAACAAGGATGACAGAGGCTAAATCACCCTTGCAAATTCCCCCCCAGGGACGGGGGGAATGGGCTTCACTCATAGTTTGACTTGGTACCTGGCTCTTGCTCCAGTGTGGGACAGGAGACCTTTAATCTTAACTTAGCAGCTTGCTTTTCTGCCTCTAACTATGAGTCAACCTGGGAAGCATGTAGAATTGTAGAAATAAAGTAAGTTACCCTTTCAGTGCCAAAACAGGAACATTCCTGTTCAAGATAACCTTTTCTAAGAAGCCAGAAGCTTTTCTTTTAGGAATCCTAGGTGCAAAGATTCCAAATAACTGGAAGAGACTATTTATATATGTGACTACAGATGCCCAGACTTTCTTAGGTCAGAGGTGGAAAGAAAATATAACCCCTACCAAGAAAGAATGGCTAGTAGATTCTTTAACATATTGTGCATGCATACTTCTTCCACTGAAAAAAAATGGAGATGTTCTAAGTGTATGCCAGAGATTGTAGTTGCATATAAGATAATCTTAGCTTGAGGCACATTTCTTTTTTTTTCTTTTTTTTTTTTTAAATTTTTTATTGCGTTCCTTTCCATATCTTCAAACAATCCAAATACCACAAATACATTAAATACAAGAAACAATTTTTCTTTTCTTTTACATCAAAGACCAATTAAAAACCAAACCAAAAAAAGTATATCAACCATTCCCTATTTGGACTTCCCCACACCCTCCGGAACTGCATTCTTTATAATTTAGTAATGTCAGCAATTTGTTACCTTGTTTCGTACCTTATTGTAACTTTCAATTTGTTATGCATCCAAATTCAATATATTGTATCTTAATTTCAATACTTTTAAAATAAACATAACATGTTCAATTCAAATTGTCTCCTTTTCTTTTTTATCACTTATTTTAACATTTACTTAATCATATTTGCCAAAGCATAGTATTTCTCAATCATGCACTAACTTAAGATTCATACAGCTTGTGATGTTTTTGCAAATAGTCTTTAAATTTTCTCCAGTCTCCCTCGATTATTTCTTCATCCAAATCTCGGATTCTGCCAGTCAGCTCAGCTAATTCCATGTAGTCCATCAACTGCGTCTGCCAATCCTCCAGCGTGGGTAAATCTTGTGTCTTCCAGTTCTTTGCGATGAGTATTCTTGCTGCTGTAGTTGCATACATAAACAAAGTTCTATCCTTCTTTGACATTTTCTGGTCCACCATACCCAGCAGGAAGGCCTCAGGTTTCTTAGAAAAGGTATACCTAAATACCTTTTTTAATTCATTATGTATCATTTCCCAGAAGGCCTTCACTTTTGGGCAGGTCCACCAGAGGTGGAAAAATGTCCCTTCTGCCTCCTTACATTTCCAACATTTGTTGTCAGACAGGTGATATATTTTAGCTAGCTTGACTGGGGTCATGTACCACCGGTATACCATTTTCATAATGTTTTCCTTCAAGGCCGTACATGCCGTGAATTTCATTCCGGTGTTCCATAACCTTTCCCAGTCTTCAAACATTATGTTGTGTCCAACATCCTGTGCCCATTTTATCATGGCAGATTTAACTACCTCATCCTGTGTATTCCATTTAAGCAGCAAGTTATACATTCTCGATAAAGTCTTAGTCTTTGGTTCTAACAATTCTGTCTCTAGTTTCGATTTTTCCACCTGGAAACCCACCTTTTTATCCATTTTAAAAACCTCTTGAATTTGAGCATAATGTAACCAGTCTCGCACCTTATTTTTTAATTTATCCTGGCTCTGCAGCTTCCAATTGTCTCCAATATTTTCTATTAATTCCCAATATTTCGGCCAGTAGGCCTCCATATTGAGTCTTTTTCGGGCCTTGGCCTCCACCGGTGATAACCACCTCGGTGTTTTGCACTCTAATAAGTCTTTATACTTCATCCAGACTGCAAAAATTGCTTTTCTGACAATGTGGTTTTTGAACAATTTATGAGCCTTAGCCTTGTCATACCATAGATATGCATGCCAACCAAAAGCATTATCAAAACCTTCCAGATCTAGGACATCAGTATTTTCCAGCAAAAACCAGTCTTTCAACCAGCAGAAGGCTGCAGCTTCATAGTACAACCTTAAGTCCGGCAGGGCAAACCCCCCTCTTTCTTTTGAGTCAGTTAGTATTTTGAACTTTATTCGGGGCTTTTTGCCCTGCCAGACAAACCTAGATATATCCTTCTGCCACTTTCCAAAACATTCCACTCTGTCCACGATCTGCAAGGTTTGAAACAAAAACAACATTTTCGGCAATACATTCATTTTTATAGCCGCAATTCTTCCCAGCAAGGACAGTTTCAATCTTGACCAAATTTCTAAATCTTTTTTAACTTCCAGCCAGCATTTCTCATAATTATCTTTAAATAAATTCAAATTTTTGGAAGACAAATTAATCCCTAGATATTTCACTTTTTTGACCACATTTAATTCTGTTTCTCTCTGAAATCCCTCTGTTTCTGTAGGTGTCAAATTCTTAGTCAGAACCTTAGTTTTTTGTTTATTCAGTTTAAACCCCGCCACTCGACCAAACTCAGATATAAGTTCAAGAACTCTTTTTGTGCTGGGTTCTGGCTCCTGCAGTGTCAAAACTAAGTCATCTGCAAAAGCTTTCAGTTTGTATTGTTTCACTCCGACCTCTATCCCTTGTACCCTCCGGTCCTCCCTTATCATGTTCAATAGCACCTCCAGGACTGAAATGAATAAAAGAGGGGATAGAGGGCACCCCTGTCGTGTCCCTTTTTCAATTTTGAATTCCTCCGACACCACATTATTCACTATTAGTTTAGCTTTCTGCTCAGAATAAATTGCTTGTATTCCATTTTCAAACCCCCGTCCCACTCCCATCCCTTCCAAGTTTTTCTTCATAAACAACCAAGATATGTTGTCAAATGCTTTCTCCGCATCAATAAAAATTAACACCGCCCTTGTGTTCCTGTTAGTTTGCAAAAGCTCCAAAATATCAATGATGTTCCTGGTATTCTCATATAAATGTCTACCAGGGAGAAAGCCAGCTTGGTCTTTATGAATTACTTCATTTAAGACCTTTTTAAGTCTGCTTGCCAGAATGTCAGCAAATATTTTGTAATCCACATTTAAGAGTGAGATGGGACGGTAGTTCTTAAGTTGGTTCTTTTCCGTTTCCACTTTCGGAATCAATGTGATGAAGGCTTCTTTCCACGACTCCGGTGTCTTCTTCCCCTCCATGTGCTTGAGGCACATTTCTTGATACCTGATTCCTGAAAAGGCAGGAAGACACCTCATTGTAGCACTTCTCCACCCCATTAAAGCCTCGCACCAGTGTTGAAAAAAGGATATCCTGAGTCACCAAGAAACCCTATGCTGACGTTTCCAAAAAGTGGAAAAGATCCTTGGACAATCTGGTCCAAATAGATTCTTGCTATCTTGGGTAGTTACCCTTATCTTGGTATTAACCCTGGAAGAGGACATCTGCTTCACACATCCTCTGATACCCAGTTGCACCTGAAGTAGAGGTGACAGAGTGTAGAAGACAAAAGTGGCATCTGGAATGAAGTGAGAAATAAGAGAGTATACTTCCATGGGGCACAGGTGTGTTTCTTGGTAGTCAAGAGAAGGCACAAGGAGTTGGAGGTCAGGCTATAACTACCTTACCCTTCTTGTCAGAGGTCCAGCTTACCAGGAGCTGCAGGTCTCCAGGGCCCTTACTATTGATTGAAAGAGAGTTGTTTAGTGAACTTTCCTCAAAAGCAGAGGTGTCTGTTAGGAGAGAAATCCAAGTGGGAAGAGAGGTCTCAGATTTCCTACTTTTCATGCATGGGATGTGGTTGCTGCCAGAAGAGGTGCCTACAAATGCCTACCACATAGCAAAGATGGACCGACATCTGATATCTTACACCCTGGCTACATTGTTTACTGTCCACTACATAATTTACTCCATACTCTCCATACTGGAGCAAGAGCCAGGACAGATCGTGAAGCTGAGGCTCCAGTACTTTGGCCACCTCATGAGAAGAGAAGACTCCTTGGAGAAGACACTGATGCTGGGAAAGATGGAGGGCACAAGGAGAAGGGGACGACAGAGGATGAGATGGTTGGATGGTGTTCTTGAAGCTACCAGCATGAATTTGATCAAACTGCGGGAGGCAGTGGAGGACAGATGTGCCTGGCGTGCTCTGGTCCATGGGGTCAGGAAGAGTCGGACATGACTAAACGACTAAACAACAACACATAATTTACTGTCCCAAACAAAGGCAAATACAGGGCACCCGTTTAGAGTAGAATGTGCTTCTTAGCAGCAAACACATGCTTGCAACTGCTTTCTGGAAAAGATTCCTAATTTATAAGAACACGAAGCAGGGTTTTGAAAAGGCAGGTCCCTGGTGGAGAGTTGTCTCTTCAGGTCAGATGCAATACACATACATACACATTTCAAAAACATAATTTTACATTTGTGTCTGTGCTTGCTTCCTTGAGTGTTAGATTTGTGCTTGCGGCGATCTTTCGTTTACACAATGTGGGGTTATTGGAGACCATTTGCCGGTATCTTGCCGAGTCATTTGAATTGCTTGCTGCTTTGTTGCACCCAACTGATTTGTAGAAGGTTGCACTTGGCTTTGCACCACACTGAGTGTCGGTGATAGACCCTTGCCTGCAGTTATGGGAAACCTGCAGAAGCATACCTTTGATTTCCAGCAACCAGATTTATCATACTGTGTTTCTGACTTAAGGCAAGGTAATTCCGGTTCTTTGGGCTGGGATGGTAATGTAATCCTGGCTTAGAATGTATGTGATGAGATTTAATTGTTTTCTGGGGTGGGGGAATTGAGCATCGAATTTCACAGCTTGATATTTTGCCTCGGCTTTGCTCTGAACATTGGGGGCCCCTGGAATCTCGCCTTGCTGCATTCTCCTACAGCTGTTATAGAAAGATAGAGGAAACAGGTTCCTGGAATTGATCTCTCTGGTAGAAAGTGATCGGGGCTGGTCCTTGGTTTAATGTTGTATGAATGGTGCAGGGACACTGTGTGTCTCTCTGCAGGCGTTGAGCATGAGAATTCATTCTTAGACCAAGAGGGTAGTGAAAACCTTTCTGTGCATGGATTTTCCCTCCTGACTCTGTTCCAAGTGCAAAACTGAGCATTTTCCAACACTTTGAGAACTTGTTATTCCTATTTGTGATACTGGTTCTGTTGGCATAGAAGGTGGCCTTCTTTATATTTTGAGGAGGGTTATATTTCACTCTTATATGTATTGTTCTTTCAGATCCACACCCCCGTTTTTTGTTTTCATTAAGCTGTCATGTGCTGTTAAGATCAAGTTAGAGTCAAAATCTAGGGAGATATAAATACTGGGAAAGGGTTCTTCAGTATCTTGGCTGCATAAAATGCTTGCAAACGCTTTGCTTTTGCTTCTAGGGCTGCGACTCCCAAATGAGCATGTCAGAAATGTCCTGCAGTGAAAGTACCTCCTCCTGTCAGTCTCTGGCACATGGCTCAGCTCCAGAAATCCTCATTGGACTGCTTTATAATGCCACAACTGGAAGACTAGCAGCAGAAGTGATAAAAGGCAGTCACTTCAAAAACCTGGCAGCAAACAGACCACCCAGTGAGTGGAATATTTTTTTTTATCCTAATACTTCTGCACTTGGGGGGATTTCACTGGTGGGGACTTCAATCCTATCATTTAGCTTTATCCAGTCAAACTGAAATACTGCAATCATCAGCTAATCTGTTTCATGTTTTATATTTCCAGTCATTGGGGAAATGGCAGAAATCTAAAATTCAAAATATTAGTTGTGATTTGACAAGATCCTTTTAATTTTTCATGACTGGCTGACTAATAAATTGCCTTTATCATAATGATTAATTGCTAAACTATTAATGCCTCACATCACAGAGCCAATATAAAAAGTTATAATGTATTTTAAAAGTGTGTGCCAATGAATGTTTATGTAAATGTGTTGATGCTACTGTGGTTAAGGATCCTCTTGTAAGAGTTTATCAGTGTGTGAGAGTTTAACTGATACCGACATGTATAATTTAGATTTTATATTCTCATAGTATAATATGATTTATATTATATTTCTTCCTGATACCAGATATGAAGAAATGTTGCACACTCTAGAGATAGATAGGAAGGCAGTCATGCGGTTTGTTCTTGGCTTCCTGCTTCTTGTTTGTATGCGGTACTCAAACAACAAACCCGAGTTCAGACATAATGCTAAGCCAAACCATGGGGTAGCATTGGGTTGGACAGCAGTAGCAAGACCAGGAAGGAGCAAAGTGGCTGTGATTTCTACTGTGCGTACCTGTGCACTTGAACAGTCACGCTGAGCCATGGTTTGGCTTGCCCTTATGGATAAACTGGGCAAATATGGGTGCAATCCTAAGAAATTGCAGACCTCTCACTCCATGGGTGGAGAGGGAGATCTGCAGGCAGAGGAGATCTACCCCAGAGGGAACTTCTGTAACTGGAAGTCTCTTCTGCATCCAGTGCTTCTGCTGTGTTGGTAAGGGAAAGGGGGCATGTCAGGGAAGAATGAAAGAGACATTGGATCTACATGATCTAAATCTCTCCCATGCCCATGGCATGCCCCCAACAATAGATGAAAAGGATGTCTTGGAACTTCCACATATTTTCCCTGCAGTGGCCTGGCATCCACCTACCAGCCTAGTCATCACAAGACTGTCAAGGCTCTGTTCTTCCACTGTGAATTCTTCCTTTCCTGCCCCCACTAGACTGCTCCACCCCGTAGCCTCAGATGGAGCTAGGAATGTGTTTGAACTGGGCATATTTGAGTTCCTTTTGTTCACTTGTTGGGACCAGAATGTGCAAGCAGGCCCAGGAATCAGATGTACATTGTGCTAGCACCCAAATTTAGCCCTTTGGGAGCCACGCATATATAAATCAGTAAAGAAAAAAGTAAGCGGTAGAAAACCACAGTGGTAGTCGGAACCTGGGGAGGAGAAAAGACAAACTAGGTAGGATACTCAACAACCATTGCTACCAAGATGTTAAGTCGTAAGAACATAAGAAGAGCCTGCTGGATCAGGCCAATAGCCCATCTAGTCCAGCATCCTGTTCGCACAGTGGCCAGCCAGATGTCTGTTGGAAGCCTGCGAGCCGGACCTGAGTGCAACAGCAATCTCCCCTCCTGCTGTTTCCAGCAACTGGTACTCAGAAGTATTACTGCCATGGAGATAGTCGTTGTGGCTGATAGCCATCAATTGCCCTCTCCTGCATGAATTTGTCTAATCCTCTTTTAAAGGCATCTAGGTTGGTGGCTATCTCTGCTGCTGGGGGAGTGAGTTCCGTAGTTTAACTATGTGCTGTGTGAAGAAATACATTCTTTTATCTGTCCTGAATCTTCCAGCATTCGGCTTAATGTCCTTGAGTTCTAGTGTTATGAGAGAGGGAGAAAAACTTTTCTCTATCCACTTCTTCCATGCCATTCATAATTGTATACACTTCTATCTATCCGTTTGGGTTGCTGCTAGCATTATTTTTTTAAAAGAAACCTTTTAAGCAGTCTTGAACATCCAAGACAAGAAAAAAGTTATATGTGTTCTGCCCTATGCAGTAGTACCTTGGGTTACAGACGCTTCAGGTTACATACGCTTCAGGTTACAGATTCCGCTAACCCAGAAATAGTACCTCGGGTTAAGAACTTTGCTTCAGGATCAGAACAGGAATTGTGCTATGGCACAGCAGCAGGAGGCCCCAGTAGCTAAAGTGGTACCTCAGGTTAAGAACAGTTTCAGGTTAAGACCTCTAGAACAAATTAAGTTCTTAACCCAAGGTACCACTGTATCTTCTTCCATTTTGTTTGAAATGGACCCATATTACAGTCATGAGTTTAGGAATCTGGTGCTCTGATCCAGAATCTCCTTGCACATGCAGGTGTTGTGATCCACACACCAAATTTTTCTATCTGTTCACTGCAGTGTTGGGAACAGATCTAGGCACTAATCTCCACTATGTTTTTCACTCAGGCTTCCCTGACACTGTAGTTTGAGTAGAAAGCCTATTCTTACAGGAGAGCTTTATGGGTGCATTGAAGCAGCCATTAAGCTTTAGATGGTCTATGATCACATGATTTTGCACTTTGGTGTAATAATTTATCTCAGACAAATGATGGTGTAAAGTAGCATTAAATGTACAGAATAGTGTTGTGGGTTTTTTTTTTAATAAAAAAACAAAACACCCAACAACCAGTGTATTGATCAAACTAATGTTTAATCTAATTAGCTTTCACCTTATTGTTTGTAATATATACAGGATTCAATTCAGTGACCGCTTACCCTTTTGTAATCCCATTGACCTCAAATGAGGCTCCACTAGTTTGAGGTCATTGAACTGACCCTTACTCAAAAAGCTGGAGTTTGCATGAAAAAGAGGATGGTCCGGTAAAGGTGACACTATGATTTCTGTAGTTTTGTAGCGTAATCTTTTGCATGAATCTGTATGTTCTGTGTTAGAAACACAATAGAAATTAGTACTAAAATATCCCATTACTTGAAACAGTGTAATTTTTTTTCCTGTTGAAGATTACACAGTGACCTTACAGAATTCATTTCATTCAATTGTACCTGCCAATCCTTTTGTTTGGTCCCTCTCTCTAAACAGATTTGTTAAGGTTTCATTTTCTTCCACTCTGGTGAATAGTGTTTCCTCTTAAACTTTAACCTTTGATCCTCTCTCACCCAACTATTGACATCTGGTCATTATTTCTTTTACTGCTTTCCACCCCCTGTTGTCAGACGGACTGTTCTGTTGTCTAAAACACTTGATAGGTGGACAGGTTTATATAATACGAGGTGAGTTCCTGTAGAGACTAATTGGATGTTGTCTTTTTCATGCAAAAGAAAGTTGCCAGCAGCAAAGCTCTCCACCACTCGCCACCATGTTGGTTTCTGACAATTTACCTTAATTAACTATTTCACTCTTTTAATGGAGATAGATCAAATCTCTGACTGGATGATGGTATTTCAAAGATCTGAAAATTAAAATGTGAAGTCGAATTTAATGGGTAAGCCAAAAAAGAAGACACAAAAACTGTCTTGTTTCTAAATACCATTAAGTACAGATATAGATGCAGCATCCTGCATTCAGTGGCCATGAGTGTATTTTCCCAGACAAAGTGGAAAACACTATAATGAAACTGATAGTTTTTGGTGTCAAATGTTGTATTAATGAATTCATGTCCACGATTCAGTAGCTCTGGTGCACAGATAGAGGCTTTCCTGTTCTCTTCTATCAACATTGGAATATATCCCCCTGTGCAGATAGGATTTTGGATTGTGGCCTGACTATCTGAGCTATTGTTATAGCATAGTACTTCTTAAAAGCACTATAAAGCAACTGTGCCCAAATAATGTAACAAAACAACACATTGAATATTAAAAATTAGACGTGAAGAGAGAGCATTACTCAGATGAGTAAACATCAGCTTGTCAATGCATTTTGTTTTTTGGCATTTTAAATATTCACAAATGAAAGAAAAAACTGACAACCCTTGAACCACATCCATGCAGAGAATTTCCCCCCGTAAACATTTCATTCTGAGCACCCATGATGTCATCACTGCACTCCACCTCATACATATATTTTTACTTGTAAACTATTTGTTTATTTCATTTCTCTTTTTATCCACCTGTTTACATTATCTGAAAACTCTTGAAATGCTTTACAGTGTTGTGGCCAGTTGTAGCTTGCTGAGTGTTAATGCTACACATGTCTGCTTTATGCAAGTGAGCAGGGGGTGAATGGATAGAAGGATTATGAGGTATACCTTTAAGTAAACTTGTTATGTAAGGATAATGCAATTAAGTAAAAGTTGAACTTCAATGTTTACTTCCTTTTTTAAACATGGCTTAAGTTTAGTCAACTACTCAAAATCCAACATGGTATACGCCATAACCTTAAAGATAGTCTGGTGTATTTTCGTAGGAGAAATCCTTTGTCTAAAGCATCTTATGCATGACATTGTTTATTTTGTAGATACGTTTGTTAAGCTGACGTTGCTGAATTCTATGGGCCAAGAGATGTCCAAATGCAAGACATCTATCCGAAGAGGGCAACCGAATCCAGTCTACAAAGAGACCTTTATTTTCCAGGTGGCACTGTTTCAGCTTTCTGACGTTACACTCATATTGTCTGTGTACAATAAACGCAGCATGAAACGAAAGGAAATGATAGGCTGGATTTCTTTAGGTTTGAACAGTTCTGGCGAAGAGGAACTAAATCACTGGACTGAGATGAAGGAATCCAAAGGACAGCAAGTATGTAGGTGGCACTCATTGTTAGAATCTTAATGAGTAGTTGCGGCTCCACGTAATATCAGGATTCCACGAGGCTGCCCCGCAGGTGCAACCAAGAGAAAGTGTTGCAGAAGTTACAATTCAACATTCCACTTTTACAGATGCACAAAACGCCGTGGAGCAGAATTTACTTTCGCATCTTCAGTTGACACCACTGAGTTCAGGTGACATGCACTGGACGCAGAAGAAAGAGCAATCCCAAGTCCTTATTTTGACGCTTTCAGGATTGTTTTGGTTCACATCTCAGTTTTCCATTTAACTAATAGGTATTTTGTGTAAATCATCTACTATTGCAAAATTCTCTTGATTGTGTTTGTTTTCTTAGAGGTGCTATGCTGTGTTATATATGACTTGTCGAGAAGCAGATTTAGAGAGCTGGGGGAGTAGTTAACTAGTGGAACACAAAAATTAGAATTTTGGCACACAGTAGTTGGAACATTGCTTCCCCACCCCCTTAGGAACTTAACATTTCCTTAACGGAGTTTAATTTTGAAGAACAACATGCAAGAGCACTCCTGCATGTTGACTGCTTCTCAGATACACAAACAGCTCCTCTGTGGTGCCTGCTTTAGGCTGGGGGTTGTAACTCCCTATTCGCTCCCAAGAGCGGAAGTTGTTCGAATGATGAATCACTGCTAATAGTGTGCATAAACCCATCACCATTCATCTCTGGCAAACACCTTTTTGTGTTGTTTCAGGAGCTTACAGACTTGTTTGACCAGTGGCAGCAGTGAGAGAAAAGAAAAATGTGTGTGTACACCATGAGAAGGGAAGCCCCTCTCAAAAAACTTTCTGCTCTCTTGAACTATTGTGAGAGTGCCAATTTACCATGCAGGATCCTCTTTCCTTGGATCTGTCAAATCAGGTCTCAATATTTTTGGCATTGATCAAATTGTCTTTGAGTCCACCTCAGGAATAATCTCCACTTTATGTCATGCAGCGATCATTTTTTGTTTTACGGATCCCTCACAGGCCTATTTAGACAGGTTGAAAACACAGGATCTAAAGAGCTGCACAACTAATTCAATGCGCCTAAGGGAGCTTTAGACGTGTGTTTCTCAAATAGCAGCCCTTGAAACTGAGAGGAATTTTCACAGTATGGAGGTCGAGTTTTTTTTTTAAAAAAAGTTTCACTGCATGAACAGAAGCACCAGGACACAACTAAAGTCACCCTATTTCCCCCAGTAGTAGAGCATGGTTGAAATCCTGTATGCAGTTTCTGGCAAGTCTCACTGATACCAGTGGTATTTTTGTTTAGGTAGCAGACTGCAGGACTACAGCTAATAACTTTACTAAAAAATTTTTGTCATTAAATCAGTTGGTCTTTATATGAACCTTGTATTACAAACCTTTGAAAATTCAAAGGTGATAAAATCTAAGGATTAAAACAGCTGGGAATAAGGACTTGGGTAATCTTAGATAATAAATAAGGGAAATAAACTTCTATGACATCTGTCTGCTAGTTTTAAAGTTCTTGCAATAAATTGTTTCACCACTTTCTGTTTCAACTACTGGTAAATTTCAGGGATTCTGTGTGATACTGAAGCTTTCCTTGAGGATGAGGTTGGCATCATGATTAAAAATTAGTACAGTTTAAATAAGCACCTAGAATTTCTAGTATTCATATCTGTTGCAAGTGTTGTCAGAGCTCATGAATTCCTAGTTAAGTGCCAGATTCAGTTAAGATTTCTGGATGAGGTGAGTCTGTGAAACAAGATTCATGTTTCCTTTATTTATTTAGAGTGAGCTGATTGAGAAAGTGCATATTTATCACTGTTTTCTTCACAATATTTTTGAATGCCGCTAAGTTTGAGATCCAGTTTTTGCATGAATGGATACAAGTGCATCATATGAAATATGTGCAATGTTCCCAGTCTCAAAATTCTTAAGAACCTCCTTAAAAATTCCCAGCTGTTGTCTTGAAATTGTTATTCAGTGCCTTTCATGTTTCACCACTTAAATTTGTAACTGTAATGCGATGCTGAACTGGATGATTTAAGTCTTGATTGATTTAAAGATTTACCTTCCTGTGTTGCATGAAGAGTATGGCACACAAAATCTAATTTGTTAAAAGAAAACCATTCAGGAACTTTTGCAAACATAAATAATGTTAATAGTTGTTCAGTATAGTATAATCTTTCCAGTTTTGTTTCTTACTGATTTCGCAGTGCATCCTTATACAAGCCTTACTACAAGATTTTTTGTTTCAGAAGTCCTCACTTTACAACCTTTTTGTTAAAATGGAGACACTTGGGATCTACTTGTAGATCTAAGCCTCCAGTTCCAATAAGGCTTACCAGAAAATAAGTACTATTGAACTCATTTAAACTTCTGAGTAAGCATATTTAGGATTGCTCTGTAAGACTTGCACTGTCATAGTGCCTTGAAGATTGGATTATGCATTCATACAGAGAAGGAGCGGACGAATAAACTGTGGCTTCATAACAATATTCCTAATTTTAAAAATGTATTACTTGGTTGGTGATTATGACCTAAGAGATTCCTAATTCACAAAGTTGTCTAATCAGGATTGTACCTCTGCATATTCTTGGCTTTTTAAAGTGCAGTATAGATACAGCTATTGAGTAATTCTGCTAAAAGGCAAGATAGAAGTGAGCAGAGTATTATTTTTTTATGAATGTTGTTTGTCATCTTAACACCTTTGCCCTAATTTTCACATTGGTTGCCTTGTTTGGAAATTACCTTGTACACATAAAGCATTTGATGGGTAAGAAACATTCAAATCTTCTTCCATCTTTCTACAGGATTATTGTACAGGTATTAACTGAAAATTCAACTTTTGTACCATAAGACTTTTTAAAAACAACAACAAACATATTTGGGTATGTATTTAGAAAGGCCTAAAGGGAATTCAGCAAGTCACGTTAACATAAGATCCTATTAATAGAACACTCCTTTCGGTGGTTCTTATTTTTATTTTGTTGTTTGAGATTATCATTACTGTATTAGTTATTAGATCCCCCCTCCCTTCTCCAACTAGCTCAAGGCAACAGATTAATGTCATTTTCAACTGAGTGGGGTCATATCTCCGTAGTAGAACACTTTGCATAAATGGTGCCCTAGGGTTATTAATTAATATGTTCAGTGACTCCTTTTAGTGCCAGAAATGTCCTAAATGCATAGCAATTTGATGTCAGAAAAAATCGTATAAAGTCTGTGTAAATTGTCACGTGCAATAACTGCATAATGTGTACACAAATTGGAAATGGCATGTACATGTAGTAGCACAGGTACAGGTTTTAAAAGACAGCGTATGTGCAGTTTCCAGTTTTGTACACACAACAAAATAGAGGCTAGTACATGTGAGTTAACAGTTTCTTCCTATATGGTGGAGTAATATGCTTAGGAAAGCAGTATGTGGTTAGCTTTTCCAGTACCATGATGCCAGAATATAGTGTGAGCTAGGGCCAACAGGTGTATAGCCTTTTCAGTGTAGTTGCTGCCATAGCACTGCCTCTCTAAAGCTAGTTCCCATGTTGTACTAGATCACAGGGGCATTTCCCATGCTACCTAACTTTAGTGTGGGAAGTATCTACATGGTCTGATCCAGCCTTCACCAGCCTGATATTTTCCATATCTGGCTAGCGATGATAAGAGCTGTAGTCCAAAATTTCTGGAGGGCAGCAGGTTGGCAAAGGCTGGTCTGCCTTAACAACAGGATATAAATACAAAATATTATCTGGGGCAGGAGAGCCTGCCAGACACAAGCAACTTTGTGACAGCAGCTGCACCCAAAATACCATATGGATTGCCCCCATATTTTTTTTTTACCCAAACATTGCAATTTTTCATGTGAAAGTACTGTGGGTTGTATCCCAGTCTAGTCCTACTCAGAACTAACCCATTGAAGTTAATAGACATGGCTAACTTACTTTCATTAATGTAATGGGTCTACACTGAGTAGAACTTAATTGGCTACAACCCTCTTTTTCTTTGAGTGCAGAAATTATATCTTGATTTGTATGTTTAGGGAAAGGGCCTTGTGGTGTTGAGGACTCTCGCAAGGGACGGTGTTGCTTCAAGTTCCTGTCTAGCAAGTCACCCAGTGATTACCGCTTGAGAGCGAGGCATTTTAATGTACTCATTTTGGGTGTCTTGGAAATATTCTTGCTTGAATGCTGTTGGCAAAGGGGCCGTCATGCTTTTCAAACTCTGACTTGGCATATTCTCTGAATCGTTTCCAACTGTTCCAACTGCTTTCTTGCTAATCTGTGGATTATTGCTGAATGCCAGCAAGCCTTTTATGGGAGGGCTATGGCTTTTATGGCAGGATCTTGCTTGCAGAAGATCCCTGGTTCAATCAGTGGCATATGTAGTTGAAAGGAACTCAGGTTGCAACGTTGGTGAAGATCTCTTGTCCAAAACCTTGAATGCCACTGAAGTACTGGGATAGGTAGGCCAGTGGTTTGACTCAGAAGTGGGAATGAGCCTCATGTGATCAAACTCATTGGGGCTTTTGTTTTTGCCCTTGATTTTAGAAGAACAGAAATTTGGGTGGGGGGAAATAGTGTGGTGCCTGGTTCTTTTTCTGCTGTTGATTTTACTCACTGTTCATGTCTGGATTCTCTTACATTGTTTTAAATCGTGATGATTTTTCATTTTTGTTATGCTCAGCCGTCTTGGGTGTTTTACACACACACAAAAACCTGGACAGGATATTAGTTTTTAAAATAAATGAATAAATGATGCCACTAAAGGCAAGTGGCATTAGGCAACCACAGATGCTATGTGAATGACGTGTAAAGTATACTACCCCTTTTAACATGGATGAGTATGATTAAAAATCCCCTGTCTTCATTTTAATATCCTGTTCATCCTTTAGCAGCTTGGAATTTGTCTACTTTAAAGCTAAAAAGAAAGGGAATCGTTTGAGGAACACTTCATTCAAATAGCAGTTATAGAATATCTGTCCTCATGAAGAGAGAGATTAATTATAGATTCTCTTTTTGGCAAATTGCTCTGTTCAAAGTCTGTAAGGCACTTACCAGGACTGGGAAGGTAAGAAGCAGCAGATTCACTGCTGCATCTTCAGCCCTACCTGCTGCTGCTGGACACAGGGAAAGGAGGAGTATTTCCTCCTCTGGCTTACTGCTGCTCCAGCTCCAGGGCTGGCACAGGATTGGGCCCCTTGGGGGATCCATGGGGATTTGGATTCCATCGGTCCATAATCTGTGGTGCCCCAAAATGCCCCATAGCCTCTTGCCCAGGCATCTTCTTGGTAGACCCTCCCAACCAGCAGACACAAGTATGTGCCACCCTAGCCTCTCCCCCTGCCAACAACATTGTGAGGTTAGGGTGAGAGCACTTGCTTTTGATTCTCTGTTGACTGTGTGTTGTTCTCCCACTTGTTGTGATTTCCATGTGGCAGTCCTTTCATTTTCCTGCTGCAATAGAGATCGCACGTGGGAGGGAAAGTGTTTTATCTGATCTTTAGCAGAGTTCATATTTCTGAATGACAAATTTAAAACTCGCCTTTTGATAGGTTTGGGAACATGTATATCCCTTCAGGACTCTGGATGTTGTGCACACCTAGTTGCTTATGACTAGAACTGGGCTGGGACCTGTTGCATTAAGATAATTTCTCTGTTTGACGCTGGCATCAATGCTTATCTTTTGGCCTTCTATTTTAAACCAAGTAGAGAACTCTTATTAATTGCAAGAGGGTTTTCAACCACAGACAGAAATTCTAGGTGTGGATTAATTAGATACTGTGGTGATTTATTTACAGATAGGTAGCCGTGTTGGTCTGCCATAGTCAAAACAAAAAATACTGTGTATCTGAAGAAGTGTGCATGCACACGAAAGCTCATACCAAGA